GCTGAATGGCACATGCGCATTACAGACAATTGGGAATCTATACCTTTCTCTCTCGCACAGATGTTGGCTTCACGTTCAGCACTTTATTCTCCTTCCAGTAATATATGTTCTAAGATTTAACTCTATTTAGATGCATAGATCTATCTCTTTTCATAAATCGATAGATTAAATGTTTTTCTCTTCTGAAAGAAGCTAATTTCAAGATACTCTCAAATCATTGCAAACATTGAGTCAAGCAAACTCGACATATTACATAACATAAAAATATACTCGCACGTATAACTACCAAAACTATTCTATAATCTGTCCAAAACTTTTTAAATTGTGTTATATTTCGAATCACGTACTCTTCAAAATATTCGAATAGAATATTTGAAAATATCGAAAGAAAAGCAATCGACAGCCGCTCCGAATTCATTGTCAAACGAATTGTAAGAATAAACGTTCCACGCGACGAAATGATTTTCGTTGATTTTCAGCATCGAGAAACAACTTAATTTCATCGTTTGTAATCGCACCAAACATTTATTCATTCATAGAATTAAATACGACCGAGTAGACGAACGTGACTTTAGGTCGCCATATTGGCAAGTGGAACCCACATCAATCGACCGCCGATTATATAATCAATGAACAATTTTCGTTCGAATAATCTGTATGAAATTTAGAATGTGTCGGTTGTCATGAATTGGAGTTGTTAAGAATTCTGAATTATGCGATTTCTCGTGGAATATTGTCATTCGAACGAGGAATGGAGCCAATCAGCAAAATACGTCAAACAGTATCATGTCAGTACAATCGCCGATTACCTCCGATATTAATTTACAAAATATGTACTCACTGTTAATAGCGAGGACGCTCGACACTTTCGTCAATTCATTTTGCAGGAGTGAAGGTTTAGCAACTCTCAAGGCGCCAGCGGCTGCCTTCGATACAGCACTCAGGATCATAGTCGGTCTATTAAGAGAAGACTGCTGAAGTGCTGAAACGTGTGTTCAATGGCCAGTGCTAGTCCCTCGTCTAAAGTAGAAACTGCGCGCGCATGCGAAGCCAGTGGTACCACAGTGGCGCAGCATAACTAGAGCCCTAGATTATCAGAGAAGCGCGAGTAGCGCGACTTTGTTCTCCGTTCCCTTAAGGCGTAATCACACTACAGGTTGCGGGCTCTGATGCCGGATGCGGTTGAGTGTTGGAAATCAACCAATCAGAGCGAACCAGTTCGTCGGTTGGGTTACAGGTTATGATTTAGACACGAGTCTATTTTTTAACCTTGCGGTTACAACCGTACCCAATATATTATTTATATTCTCGACAGGTTACGTAGTGTACGTAGTAGGTGTGTACGTAGCTGTGATTATTTGCAATGCCTCCCAAAATGAATATATGGTCTAATGAGGCCGAGCAATTATTAATAGACTTAGTAGAAACAAAAAGAATATTGTGGGACATTACA